TTCTAAGAATTTGTAAATTAGGTTTCGTCAAATAAGCAAATAACATAATGATAAAAACTCCCGTTGGTCCAGCATACCGCTGCATACGAGATTCAGACCGCCACTGATTAGATAGACCTTTAACTTGAATCTTTAATTAGTATTTCTTCTTATTTTAAAATCTGTAACAACAATAATTCGAAACTAAACTTAAATTAAAAACTATTATTATATGTTATAAATTATTTGTTTAAATGTTTATTCTAATGGTGATAATAATTTAATATAATATACTATAGTATTAGATATAATTTAATTAAAGATATTGGCATAAATATTGTTATATAGAAATATTTCTAATAGACTTTAATAGTCAATGTTTCCCAAGTTTTATTTACCATTAATAGATAAGTATTGTCTAATAATTATACCTTTTATACCTTTTTATATAAGTAATCATATTGTAATTATTAAACTATCTATTTATAAATGCCGTATTTAAGATTTTGTCCACCAGGGATAATAACATTTTGCCATCCTTCTTCCCTAAATACAAATGTCTTTCAAATTCATTAAAAAATCTAAGACAAATTGAATTTGAATATGAAGTCTAAAATACAAGATTAATTGGTGGTACTGTAGTAATACAGAAAAATGATTAAATAAGGGATGACTTTTAAGAGTTCTAAAAGTGAATTTCTTTAATTCTTACCTTTATTTCACTTCTCGTTCAACATATAGATTTTGAGTTGATAAATATTTTAAAATAATTAAACACACTTAGAAATATTTAATATTCAGATACGATTGACAAATCTCGTCAATACTCCGCAGGCGTACAAATGAAAACGTGTTGATTCTCTTCGTATGGTGACCAGTAGCCGATCGACCTCTTGCTGGCGAGACAGGCCTATTTTATGCCCTTTGGAGTATTGACAAGATTGCCCTTCTTACCGTCATTTATTGATAATTATTATAATTGTTTTACAATTTCAGAAAATGTCCTAATACTAATAATGTAATATTTATGGTGTTATCTTTTGACATTTGTTTGATTATTTTGTGTGATGTTAGCCGACATAAATTAGGAATATGGAGGTGATTTTGATATAAATGAAATGTGCTTATTAAATAATGATAATGTAACTATCCGACAGTTTATTGATGCCGCTTTAGATAATTATTTATTTTTGATAGAGTTGTTATTATATTAAATGTCAAAATATATTAATATATGGTTAAAATTAATTTAATTTACTAATTACTAATACTAATATACATATAAATAATATCACTAATGTTATGTCTTACAATATTATAACAATACCCTTCGGTCTGATTGTCCCATCACCATAGAAATCAAGTTTTAATCAATATCTATATATTAATAAAATAAAATACTCTTAAATAAATATAAATTTCAAAAAACTTTTAAAATTTAATAAATAAAATATTAATTTTAAATGTTTAAAGTAATTATATTCAAAAATGAAGTATTATTTTACTTTAACTTTGTTTTCCTTCATAAACCTTATTGCCATTATTCATAATTTAAATTATTATTCTCATAATAAATCAATATGATAATGCTTATTTGAATTAAATATTTTTAAATAATGTTAATAAAGATTTTTTAAAATAATTAATTGTATTTCGAATGCATACCTACATTTATTTATATACGCTACTAAATAATATAAATAATTTTACAATATTACATTTATTTTTCATATAATTTTATTGATTTATCATTCATAAATAATTTTTCATTGATAATGTGAAAAAATCGATTTTTTTTTATTTAGAATCACCGTAAAAATTTGCTGCCCCTTAATTATTTCAGGGAGACTATTATCTCCCTGAACCACTCCTTAAATACGACTCTAACCTATGTATTGTATTTTAATTGAAACGATAATTCAATTTAAATACCTATCTATTTCTGAATAATGTATAAATATTTCAAAATAAATTGATTGAACTAAAAAAATTGTATTTTTTAAGTATTTTGAATATTTTAAAAAATTATTTGCATCAATACTTAAATATTTAAAAAATTAGTATTTTCAATTATATTCAATAACACAAAGTATTTAAATACGTTATCTAAATACATTTGAAAATTATGTTTAACAAAATTGTCTACATAGATAAGTATTTATATACGACTTACACTTAAAGAAAATATCAATTACTTGATTTTGATGATTAATTATATTAATAATTGTTTAATATTATTTTTAATCAATTTTGTATATGTTAAATTATAGATACTTATTGTTATTAGAAACAATTTAAAGTACCTTTATAAAACTTAAGGGCTGTATATTCTATATTATGGTAGTAGTTGATGATAAAAGAGGTAAATTTGTAAAATATTCAAGTATTTATGCAATGGAAAATCTTGGCAACAACTTCCTTAAATTCTAATGAATTTCAATTAGATTAATGCATAATATGAACTGCAAATCGCGACTTGCCGTCTAGAAATATTGGAAAGATAAAAGTAAAAAATATGTATGTATATAAAAAAGAAACCAAATGACGCCAATGTTTTATATTAAAGTTTCTTTGATTACAATTTTTATTCTAATTTATTTATATTTCTTATAATCAATGATTATAGAATGAATTAATATTAAATAGTAATAAGTAATAAGTCATATGCTGTTCCATAACGGCCACAACTTATTTATCGGATTTTTTTTTACCTTTCAATGCGGAAAAAAATAATTATGTTTATTAAAAGTTTTTCACCGATAAAATTATTGCTAATTTAAATAAAATATATTTTTACCGTGAAAAGACCAACTGCTTACCTTCGAAGCCTTCGTAGGGTTGAATTAGAAAATAATTTAAAAGACGTAAGAGTATAACCCTGGAAAGATATAGCAGATACAAAACTGTAGGATTAGAGGAATTCAATTGTGACGCTGAAAATTCTAAGAACAATGGAGGACGGAAAAGAAGAAAAACCTTGGCATTTGGTTATTCAATTCGTTTGTAATTGATGATTATTGTGTCGTAAACGCTTGAATGATAGAATTATGTAATAATGTACAGCTTAGCGCAATATGGACTATGGTTTTTAACCATCGCAAACGATAATTATTATGAGGCGCCTTAATGAGTTATTTTATTGACATAAAGTGTTTTTATTATAATAGATTACTCTTTATGTTTCCTTGTAATATAATTGGACTAAGAAAAAAATCAGTTTCCATGTATTATGACATTATGTTAGCAGTATAATTACGATGATTCATATCAAATACATAGTTGTTTTAAGAAAATGTATACACAGAAGTGTGTAGAAGTAGAACTATTTTTTCCTTCGGTCGGTGCACGTTGTGAGTACGATCTAATTTAGAATAAATTGCCCTTGAACATAGTATACTTTTTTGTAATGCTGTTCAATATAACCTTACCAACGTGGAACTTTACGGGTCATATTTTCTATACATTACCTATACTTTAATAATAAATCTAATTTCATCACTAATATTTCACATCATGATTTTAATCTGAATGTTTATAAATCATGCAATATCTATTTCAATTTTTAAAGAATTATTATACTTTATATTTTGTAGGTATACCGTTGGCGGTATACTTACAAGAGGGGCGAAGGGGGCAATTGCCCTGACACCAACATTTTAGAAACACGTCAAAATTTGTTTTTGTTTTCACGCCTAGTGACTAGTTATATTGCAAAAACAGTACTTAAAATTAAACTGTTGAGTCAATTCTAAGTTCTGCTACACTTAACTGAAAAATAAAATAGAACGACCATACAATTTTTCATTTGATAATCTTGATTTATTCTGCGTAGAATATAATGACCTAGTTAGATTGTTGAACTGCGGACACGATTTAAAATTTAAACTTATAATTTGTCAGGTTGTGATTGTGACTGATTAATTAAATGTACCTAAGTTATATCTCAATTTAGTGTTTTATTTACTTTTTTTTTTTTTTTTTTTTTTTTGAGGAATAAGGGGAGGGGCGCAAGTAAAATATTTGCCTCTGAACGACTTTTTTCAAAATGCGGCATTGACCGTACTACCTTGATTTAAAATGCGTATGAATCTAGGACCTCTACAGTTAACCGTAGGTCACTTATTTACTTTTATAAATAGCCATATGAGTATTATTGTATTTATAAAGTCCGTTTATTTTATAATATAAAAGATATTTTAAGGTACCTACATTATGGTCGATGAATTTATTGATAAAATCCGTTGCCAACATAGCTGTGCAAATAGTTTAATAGTTCTATGTTCAATGTTCTATGTAAACAGGATTTCCTGATTCATAGATAGCTTTTAATAAAAAAAATACAAAAAAATCGATTATATAGCTGTAACTCTTTGTTTATGTTGTTTCGATTTTGTATAAACAGTAATAAATAGGTTCATCGTTATAATTTTCTTAACCGTTATGAAACATCGAGTCTTCCGATTACGCCTTGTCCTTAATATAACGTCACGTGATCATTAACGATATTATTAATTGTTATACGTAACACTTTTGATGTGTTGATGACAGCGCACGGCGGTCAAAAGTCAAACGAATTGCGCGGAACAGATCCCGCGACTCGAGGGACGTATTTTGGCTCAAGTCCGCCGGGGAGCGATAAAGTAATATTACAACATCCGTCGAACAATTACCGTGACAAATCTTTAAACGATCGTGTCTCACCGAGCACACCACAATTTCATAACACGACCATGTCGTTGAAACGGACGATAATATTATTTTCGAGTAAACGCCGTTATACGCTAACAGTTCACCGGAGGAGGGAAGACTAAATTTCGTCCGTGGGATCATAACCGCGGTACAATCTGCGAGCGCGATCGTTCAGCGGCAGGGACACGTAACGTGTTCAGCGTTGTGACTCACGTTCGAATAGTACAATCGCCGGATTTTTTCGTGACGTTCCGGTGGATGGCCACGTTAAGCCGACGTCGCACGCGTTCCGTGTTTTGGTACACCTGTATGATAATAGCGCATACGACTGTTGATAACGAAACGTCCAACTCCACTGGTATTTGTTACGGTTTTTTTTTATTTGTATTTATTGCTGCGATTAGTCTGTACCACAATTATCTGTAGCTGTTCGATAGTTCCAACATTACGGTCTGACAAGTCGTTTAGCAGTTGTTGTGAGCTCGTTCATTCATTCGGCCCGCGCGCGTATTATGTTCGTTTCGTGAGGTGTTGTGTTCCTTTAATTTATTTATTTTTCGTATGCAAATCATCCAATCATGTTAGGCTGGCTTAGAAAAGACGATGGAAAGAAGATCGATACCTGCGAGAACGTACTGGATAGTTTGCGGGAAAAGTACAAGTCCAAACTCTTGCCTTTGGAGCTGGCGTATCAATTCCACGATTTCTACTCGCCCAAACTGGACGATCCAGATTTTGTCGCTAAACCGATGATTTTGTTGGTCGGCCAATACTCTACGGGTAAAACTACATTCATCAAACATCTTCTAGAATCAGATTTCCCTGGAATTCGCATTGGTCCCGAACCCACTACCGATCGTTTCATTGCTGTTATGTACGATGAAAAGGAATCAATTATTCCAGGCAACGCTTTGGTGGTAGACCCTAAAAAGCAATTTAGACCACTATCTAAGTATGGCAATGCCTTCCTCAACCGATTTCAATGTTCTTTAGTGAACTTGCCTGTACTTAAATATATTTCAATTGTTGATACCCCTGGTATTTTGTCAGGAGAAAAGCAAAGAGTGGATAGGGGTTACGATTTTACTGGTGTATTAGAATGGTTTGCTGAGCACGTTGACAGAATTATTTTGCTTTTCGATGCTCACAAGCTGGACATATCTGATGAATTCCGTAGATCAATAGAAGCACTACGAGGGCATGATGATAAAATACGAATTGTTTTGAATAAAGCTGATATGGTTGACCATCAACAACTAATGCGTGTATATGGAGCACTAATGTGGTCTTTAGGAAAAGTTCTACAAACTCCTGAAGTAGCTCGAGTTTATATTGGATCCTTTTGGGACAAGCCGTTGAGATATGATGTCAATAAAAAGTAATAATGTCTTTTATTTAATTACCTTGGTATTTATAAATTATATAAGATATAGCAATACATGAGTTGTATTCCTATGATTATTATTGATAATTTCTTTTTAAACTATTTTATTACATTACAATTTTTAGTATATATATAAATATTTATTTTAAAGACCATAACACTATTTTCAATTATATTTAAAATAAACTATTTAATCATAATTTCGGTACTCATACTTGTAAATATGTCTAACTTAAATTTTCAACAGAAAAAAAATCAAATTTTGAGATAGATGATAAACTTGATTTGGTTCTTATACCTCTATTTAAATAAAAATAAATATTTAATGGAGGTTAATATATTTGTATAAATTATTAAGTATTTGTAATTGCCAGTTAAAAATTATTTTATAGAATTATTTAATTTTCATTAAATATCCATCTACATAAAAATAACTTATTGATCATTTTTCAAACTTTAATTAAAATATTGAATATAACGGGTTAAAGTAGTCTTGTTTACTTTTTAGTATTTAATTGAAACAATCACTAAGTAACTTTTTTTAATATATTTTAAATTAATCATATTGTTTACAAAATAAATACAGTTTTTAATTAAATTCTTCAATTAGATCTATTATTTTCTTCTTAAGGTTTAGTGTGACTGGTAGTAATTAGACCAATAAAACTAGATTGGGAATTAAGTTTAATGCAGTTGACTAACCAATTAATTTTACATCATGACAATTTACTTTAAATTGTTCTAGTTTCTTAAGATTGAAAATCTATAATATATTTGTTTTAGGTGCATTTTCTTTTTATTTAAACAGATAGTAAACAAGGTCAGTAGGCCAATACTTTCAAGACCAAACTCCACTCTTTCACCAGTTACTATAACAAATGTTTTTATTGTGTCAAACAATAATATATATATATATAAGATTTCATTACTTTCATTTTCAGCAATAACTTTAAATTTTTATTTTTTCCTATTAAATATTTTCTATTTATTACACAGTTTTTTAATATATTTCCCCTTATAAACTTTATGGTTTATTCTAATACTGAAAAAAATTTATATATTTTTTAATCAAGTATGGGTTTATTGTTTTTATTATTAATATTTTTTTTTATTTTTATTTTTTTAGTTAAATAAGTAATCATTTACTTAAAGACTTGAAATGAAAGTTATCAATGATAAAAGATCAAATAATTATGACTTAAATAAAAAAAAATATTTGTATTTACTATTATAAAAATGTATAGTATGTATAACTTATTACCTTATTATCAAAACATATGTTGCAATTAATAATCATATCTACTTGTGATAAAAAATTGAAATTTAAAGTTATGTACCTATTATTTAAATTAATTTTGGGTTTATCCAACTTTTTTGTAAATTAATTAGTATATACCTATATTAAATATGTTGACGTGTACAATTTAAATTCCTTTGTTAGATGAAAACAAGTATGAAATACTTGTTACAATATTATGATTAAATGTTCAATATATATATTTCTCCGTGTTTCTTTCAAAACTGCGATAAATACTTTGATTCATTATTGATTTATAATTCATTCAAATAATATAAATACTTTTGTCCTTGCAACCTTTACATAGTTTCCGAACTTTACAACTTGTATGTCACATCAGGGGCGCCATTTCAGTTTTTTTAAGGGTGTGCAAGCAATTAAAGAGGCCAATTTTTTCCCACCACCAGGCCAACATTTATGATAAGCATTGATTACTGATAATCAGCGAATCACGCACAATATTAAAGATTGGAAAACTGAAGATCAAAGCGGCAAGGCATGTATCAGTTACGCCTAGGCCAATAGCCAATAATTGAAAATGAAAAAAATCCAGGGTGTGCAATAGCACACCCTACTCCCCCCAAATGACGCCCCTGTAACACATATATTCTATTAAAGTAACAGTTTAAATGCAATGCAAACATTTGGCTTTTTTTTCTATTTAATAAAACTTCATACTTATATTAATTATTGGTATTTTTTGAATTTTGAATGTATTGAATTATTTATTTTCATTAAAATATATTTCTCATAAGTTTTTAATTATTTTTATTTTCAGTTATTTGTATTTGAATGGCTCTTTTTTCACCAATTAATATTTTTACATACTTCATTATTTTAATTACCATAATAGCATAATACATATATTTAAAATAATATCGTTTTATATATTTATATCTTTATACTGAATAGAAAAACAAACATTTATGGTGATTCACTCTGTATACTGGTGCAATAAATAAAAATTCATGTAAAATCACAAAGAGATAACGGTTACATTAATTAAACCTTCAATTATTATCACTATAAATTAACTAATCTAAAAGACAAAAAAATATTCACATATTTTAAAACAATTTTTTTTTTGTTGTATAAAATCATTTTCAACAGTTACATTATATTTTCGAGTGGATAAAGATGAATAGATAAATTACCGTTCACGCCCATGCAAGTTATTTCAAAACATAATTTAAGCACAATGCATGGACGATTTGTAATTTTCTTAATTGTTGCATTTGAACACTTAAAATTGCAACAATATATAACTGTTAAAGTATGTATTTTCTAATGACAAAATAATATTAGTGTTCTGTACATTGTTTATTATGTATATTTGTAGGTGTTTTTATATTTATTTATCTATAGTTAAGAGTTGCTATAGGCATTTCAACTGTGAAATGTAAACAGAAATTTGAGTTGAAACCTATATAAAAAGTAGACAATGTATTATACTCTAATACAGGGTTGTCATACGTTCCGGAAAACCAGGATTGTCACTGGTTTTGCACTTTGTGTCCCAGTGTCCCGAAAATGTTTTCGGGACGTCCATATGTCCTGGCTTAGACGTTTAGAGGAAATGTAGAATTGTTTAATTTTTAATGTTGACGATTTTATCTCAAAGTGCATTTTTAATTGTAATCGATTAACAATGTATAATAAAAATATAATTTGTAATTAATACATATAAACATATAGTTTATTTTACAAACATATTTTTAAACATTATATTGCCGGCCATTAATGGTCCTCTCAATATGTTAAAAGTTATATGAAAAGTAAATTACTCAATAATATGTTTGTTTTGTTCTGGTTGCGCCTTATAAGTTTTTGGCAATCCTACTCTAATATGACGATTGTAATTTTTCTGCATATATGATTTCTCTTCTATATTTCGTAGTAAATATTGAATAATTGAATTCGTTTATAGATTTTTAAATAATTAAAAAAAACCAATGTAACAGTACTAGAATTTTCTAACAACGTACATTTCTTTCTCTTACTACCATATGTCAATTTGTTTACGGACATGAATATAACTTCATTCATTAATACCAACTCATTTTCTCACGTACTCTTGTCACGACAAAGCGCTATAAGACACCAAGTTCCCAAAAATCAATCAACTTTCTAATAAATATTTGTTTCCAATTTATTTTAACTTTTAATCTGACTCAAATGATATTTTCCCTATATTTAAAATCTATTCGAAGTTTAAAATATAAAATATATCAATATTGTACAATGAACAATTATTTAAAGTAAAATTAAATTCAGAGGTTATGCTATTATAGGGATTCAGCTGTTTAGTATCATTCGAACGTATTGTATACATGTATCAATATTCAATTTCAACATATAAAATTAGTATTATGAGTACGATTTTTGATAAACATTAACCTCTTTTTCATCCTATAAACAATTTACTAGAATAACAAAAATTGATAGGATCCAACGTTTATAGTTGTTGGCGTGTTGTACGGCGCCACTGCTACTTACATAAATATACATTATTTACTGTCTGTTAATTCGCCATTTTACTTGTTTCAGTTGGTTTAATAAACTTTTCTTATCTACGTAGTTACTTAAAATTAATATCTAATAAGCTGATTTAACCAGTTCCCCTACGTTTTTACGTAAAGTAAACAAACTTATTATATTCCCTTTTAAAATGTTTATACTTATGTCATAATTACATTTTTTATCAAAATATATGAAAAAATAAATATATTATTTGAAAATTTGTTGGCGTATAATTGTAGTGTTTTAAATGGCATCGATTAAATTATGAGCAGATAAAACCATTTAAAATAATTTGTAAGGATACGTAACTAACATAATATTTAGAGCATTAATAAAAAAATAGTGAACTCTTGTTAATATGAATTTATTGATTTAATATAATAATATTACAATATTTACCCAAAAATATGTTGATGAAGAATTTAAATGCAATTTTAATAATTTATAGCAAAGTGTAAATGTATTTAAATAAAATAAATGGCAGTTATGATTTTTAAATATTTAAATTTAAAAATTATAGAAGCAGACGCTTATATTCGATCGAGTGAAAACATAAAGTAATTGTTTAAATGAATTCGTTTGAAGTTTAGATTTTATTGATAAAAAAAACACCAAAAGATTTAGATTTTATCGTAATTTTATGTAATTTATTCAAATAACATTGTCAACATGGCACTCTTTAAAAGCTGTATAAATGTTTACTGCATACATTTTGACATTTGGTAAAAAAAAAAATCAACGAATAACACAATATTCAAAAAATGTATATTTATTATTTAAAATTAAAAATCATCAAAAACTGAAGACATTTTTTTCTGTTAAATTTTTATAGTTTTGACTTAAACAGATCCAATTATTATGGACTCAATCTACTCTCTATTTCACGTTCTTTATTTGTATTTTGTTACAAAATATACGAATTTATGGTTATATGCAAGTACAAATTACTTTTACTCATTAATTCAAATTAAATAATAATTTTAGTTTATTATTATTTCTGATAGATATGAATATCGAGCCATTTAACATTTGCCAAAGAGTACCACGAAGAGGTAACTTCTATTATACTTTCTAGGAAATGGTTGTTATCGTATTTATAACTCATCTAAAAGAATAATAAGTATTTTAAATGCAACTAAATATTTCATTTTTAATAGAAATTTATTTTAACTGTATTAAATTATATTTACAAGTATTTGAAAGTCTATATAAATTATAAAGTATTTAATTTGTTATACATTTTGTTTTAAATAGTAGTTGATTTATTGATTTATTTGAATCCTTTGTCATAATCCAATATTTTCTTCCAATTTTAGTAGGTATTTTTCGAATCATTTTAATAGACCTAGTATAATGTTTTTTTTTTTTTTTTTAGTTAAATATATCTCGTTTGTTTATCAATAAGTGATAATATAGCAGTTAATGTAATTCAAAATAAATTTACAAAATACTTTTATATTCCTCTTTTATTCCTCGTTTATGATTTGTCATCTGTCGATTATCAACAAAATGAAAAATGCATGATAATAACATTATCTTTTATATGTAAATCTATATTCTATAGTTCTATATAATTTCAAATTTTTGTTTGTAGATTATTTGAGGATGAAGAACAAGATTTGATCAAAGATTTGCTATCATTGCCTAAAAACGTGGCATTAAGAAAACTAAATGACTTAATTAAACGTGCAAGATTAGCCAAAGTAATTATTAAAAAGTCATTAGTTAAAATTCAAATACAACGTTCGTTGGCGACTTTTACTGTTTCATGATTATATAACTTATATCGTCATATTTATAGGTTCACGCTTACATAATTAGCGCGTTACATAAAGAAATGCCGTCAATTTTTAGGAAGGACGGCAAGAAGAAAGAATTAATAAAAAATCTCGGTACCATTTATCAAAATATACAAAGAGAACATCAGATTTCCCCTGGAGATTTTCCCGATATTAAAAAAATGCAGGTAAACATGAACATATCGTTTTTAATTCTTATACTTAATATAAATGCAATCATTTAAATTAAGTATATCCTTATATATAATTAAATCATTAACTATTGATCTAGGATATACTGGTAAACTTGGATTTTAGCAAATTCCAAGGTCTAAAACCACATCTCTTAGATGAAGTTGATAAGATGCTGACCAATGATATCGCCGATTTGATAGCTATGATTCCTTTACAAGAAGCGAATAACATTGACTTGAAGAATAAAGACAGCGAACCACAGACTGTAATTGAAGGTCTGTCATGGTCTCATATATCATATATCAATAAAATTATTAAAAAACCATTTTTGTGTGAAAATGCTTACTGCTACCTTTCATATTTACAGGTGGTGTATTTCTTACTGTTCAAGATAAAGAAAGTCCATTTGGATATAAGAGAGGAGAAGGTATTGATGCTGGAAAAGGTGAAACTGGTTGGATAGTTGACAAGGAACGTCAAAAGTATGATGCAATATTCAACACACTTGAGAAGTCTGATGGCAAACTATCAGGAGCAGGTATACTGTATTTTTATAAACAATGTGTTTTATAGCACATTTTCATGATTTTAATTTGTTTTTTTAGTTGCCAAAGCTGAAATGGTCAAATCGAAATTGCCAAATTCTGTACTGGGAAAAATATGGAAGTTGTCAGATATTGACTTAGATAGTCATTTGGACATAGACGAATTTGCTTTGGCTATGCATTTGATAAAAATAAAATTGGAAGGACATGATTTACCGTCTGAAATACCTGAACACTTAATTCCTCCATCCAAACGAGATTTATAAAAAAAAAATTCTCAGCATATATACACACAGAACCATTAAAACACAGTGTTCATTGGTAAATTCAACATGTTTATAATATACGTTTGTCTTCATATAAGTTTGATATTACACTCTGTGCGTATGTGTGTTTGTGCTTGTGAGATATGATACATAAATAAATTTATACAGCACAGCCCCCATTTTGAGTATGAGTATTGCTTGTGGTAATTGTTATTTAAATTAAATTGTCTATCTACATAAATATAAATGTTAAAATATTAATAGAAGTTATTAATTATTGTTAAAGTTCATATATATATATATTATGAATTATAATATATTTCTTTTAGTTATGGTACAGTGTGATGAAAAAGTATGGCTTTTTCACGGCATTTAATTTATAACAATATCAATGATAATGTAATATTTATAATATATACTTAAAACAAGAAGAAAATGTCAATTTTGTCCAGTCATTAATAAATACTTTCGCATTGTAAACTACTATTTTTTACTACCCTAATATTCATTGTTTTAAAAAATGTATTATGCCTAATTAATACATATAAGACCAATAGTTTTTAATATTTTTATTGTATTTGATAAAGTTATATATATACTTTATCTCATAATTTGTTTTTATTTCTTATTATATGTATTTAAAATTTAATTATATATTTTTGAAATGAAATTTTTCTTTTTCTTAAACCTTGCTGAAATCGACTAATACTGTTTATTGTTATGATGAGAAATTAGAAATCTATCATGGACTCTTAAATTGTAATCGATGATCTAAAAGGTCAGTAGGACCTTTTATTGTTCATCCACTATTAAAAAAATTCTATCAGTCATTATTAACAGTGTTTGCTCCTAAATTCCGGGATCTGATGTGGAAATTTTTTTCTGAATCTTTTAGTAAAACATCTAATATGCCGTCATAAGCAAAAACGCCGTAAGTCGCTATAGAACGATTTTGTGAAAAACATGTGTTAGTAATGTCTATTTTATTGAAATCATTACACTTTGTACATTATAATTATTCAAATATGGTATATGTTTTCCTATGTAATTTTACTAGAGGAATAGAATGAAACAAATATAAATATGATTAAATTAATTTTCAACAAGATATTTTACTTTTCACATTACACCTTGGTATTGGTAAAAACTTTTTACATTTTGTTCCTAATCAAGAATGCCGTAAGTAATAATTTCTGATATGATAAAATCATTTTTTTTTTTCTTATTATTATTATTATTATATTTATTTCACAAAACAAAACAAGTCAATTTATAAATTTAAAATTAATATATACATAAATTTTACAGCATTCATTAATATATTGGAATATTTTCCCAAAAATGTTTTTGGTTGGATGGGAGAACTTGAGCCAGATTACAGAGAATACTATCTCGTTTTTCTTGTTGAATACCTCATGGTTTCATCAATGAGATTGGATGCGAAATTCCATTGATTTTCATAACGTTTTTTCTTAAAAAGTCTAATTCCGCGTATTCTTCATCGTAATAGCTTTTGGTGTACAGTATAAATTTGCCACATCTAACTTGAACGGATACTATGTCTTTGAGTAAAATACGATTTGTTGATTTGGTCAATTTTTGCTATGTTTTGTAATCCTTCCATAAAAAAAAAGTCGGAGTATTCCATTTTTTTGACTATAACTTAAGATTTATTTACATTACTAATAGCTATAGCGAAATCATCGTAGTCTTACGTTTTCTTTTAACGTTTTAATGACTGCTCAACCTGGTGATGAAAGTGGTCTGCTGACATAAAAGTATGGCCCGGTTCAAAATAATTTAAATTTATTTCATTAGCACAGATTTTTTCGGAGTTTACAATATAAATTATAAAACTCTAAATAAGCACCAATTTTTATTTTGTCTGCTGCAATTGTCAAGCCAAATCGTTACTGTATCTGCATCTCGATTGCTTAAAAGAAACGCATAAAATGTGCTCATCAAATCTTCTTTATTACGACCATTAATGCCTTCGTGCCAAATACACGCAAATGGAAATAATTTTGATTTTTTTCTCCAAAGGTACAAAGCTGTATGAAATATCGAATAAGTTTATTATAAATGAATTTTTCCGTTAGTCGAATTGCTTTGCGATAAGTAAACTTATAAGTAAAACGATAAGTGTTACTAAGCCAAAATGCCGTTAATTATAATTTGTACTATGTACTAAGATAAAATGCCGTATCTTCAACAATACTTACGGCATTAATGCCAAGTATAGTGTATTTACGGCGTTATTACCTAGTACCCACAAATTGATCTACGATTTACGACGTTTTAGTTATTTGATTAATGCTTATATGTTTTTTAGTCATGTTACTTATATTTCTCCAATCAGAATATCCACCAGTAATTAGAACATCTTTTACAATTTGCGAATGAGAAGGGAAATGACGACAATAATAACAACAAAATACGGCATTCATCTAATTGAGTATTCCAACCATGGGTACTTATTATACCAACTGCTTTGAAAGCTACGTTGCTTCCTAGATATAAAAGTACGAGGAAAACTGATGACAGATTGTACAGCGGTATCCTCACAAGCTATACTAATATCAAAACTTCAACTGTTTATTTGTATCTGATATTGATGTACGCGTACTTGATCCAGGGTCATTAGGCTCAGAAACCGAAACAGTTGAAACAGCAATTTATTTTAAATTACCTGATTAAAAAACGTTTCATTTTTCGAAAATTAGTGACGCGACGGACTAAGTAAAAATAAAAGCGAAATATAATCACTACGTTCTACTAAAGGCGTTCGCAGTGAGGCAGTGCGATTAGTATTAGGCCGTCTACACACGGAGCTATTCATTAGAAACTTATTACAGACGCAAATCATTAATTAGTTTACGTTTATTCACTAACTATATTGTCCAATGGAACACAACAGACGGCGCTACTGGTTACTAATTAGATACTAATGCGTGAGCGATCAGTTCCAAATGATTCGACTGTTGAGTCACTTCGAATTGTGTGATTTTTTTTAAAATCAAATATTTTCTTGTTTAATTTTCCTTAATAAATTAAACAATGAATGAACAAAAACTTATCATAAAGCTTGTAGAAGATTCAATTCTCGCGCGGCAACAAATAGTCGATAGTGAAAATTTCTTTCAATGTATGGATGAACCCAAAATCTTAGTTTTCTATTTTTTTTGATATGGTAATAGTAATATGCAATCATAATTTCTTCATCACTAGAATCATCCATGGTGTTAAAAAATGATGATACAGGTCCTCCTTCCATAACCAATCAGTATAAAATAGTTATTTCGATCACTTTTCAATATGATCGTGTGCGGATCCGAGTTACCAATGCGTTAATAATTGATAAGTAATTTAAATCACTAACCCGTTTAGTTTCTAATGAATAAGTCCATGTGTAGACGGCCTTGAACTAATCGATAATAACAAACTCGTGGCCCTCATCAATATTTTGTCAATATTATCTCATCTGTATATATGGTAAATAAAATTAATAACCCGACAATCAATCTAATCGACAACTCTCTAAACGTGTTTTTAGGAAAAACATGCGTTTGGGAAAAGTCAACGACCATATTATGATCAAAATTAGAAATAATTTTAAATTAAATGTTATTTTGGTTTACTATATAAATAAATAAAAACGTCGACGAAAAAATATTGATAAAATGATAAATTATTTAAAATATGTATCTAAAAGTTATAAAAAAGAAGAAATATGTCCAAAAAACCAAAAAACGCAAAATATGCACTTGTGCAAAGCATATTTTAACATACAAAGTACGTAGCACTAGTACCCTCCCTCCAGTGGTAATTGAATGCTAAGTGATTGTGCCACTAACCAACACATTCTCATAATGATCGAAATTACAAGAGTTGATTTTCTCTGTATGTTTTTCTGGTAGATGATTTTATTAAAGAACCACCCAGTAAAAATTACTTAAAATGTGTTCTGCATTTATGTATATGCACAATAAAATTTCAAAATTAGCTTTGTGGAAGCATGAAACGTATTTGTTTCGCACTCTGCTATTTTTGTGACTGTGCGAAAAAATATGCAAATGCTACAAGTCCTCTGCCATCAGTGGCGTACATACGGGGAGAGGGGTCCGGGTTCAAACCCCCCCAGGGCCAAAAAAAAAGAAATTTTTTTTTATTATTGATGACGTGTAATATATTTGTAGTTTCATCATTACGCTTTGAACTTAAAATATACAACTATACAAATATTATGATAATTAAATAATTATATTGATAGGTGTTTGAAAAGTTTTGTTAACTATGATGTTTTTATATTTCAAAAGCTATTAATTTACTGTAATGTAAAAGTAAACTGTAAGTTGGTAAAAAAGTTGTATAAAATAATATCTATATATAGCAGTTATTTATCTTATTTATCTGTGCAACGAAAAAAAAAAGATAACGATTATTTTTGTTAACCCCCCCCCCCAGAGCAAGATTGAATGTACGCCACTGTCTGCCATAGTCATTAAACATGTTGAAAATCACGTTTTTCCAACAATCGTCGTATACTAACGCAATGCTGATACGGGAAAGCTGATGGTGTGGGATACACAAACACTGGTCACACGTTCCCTTGTTAGTCATTTAGCTGTCGCACGAGTTAATTTCTCGTGTCAGTGTACTCGCAACTCATCCGTTGCCTTAATAAATCGTTCCCTGCCAAACGGGTTTTGTTTTTCTGTTATATCTTATAACCAAAATTGGTGATGAAATTAAACCCCACTGCTTGTGTCAAGTTGCCACGTTGAACCATTAATTTTCAACAAAATATCAAAGAGAAACCGTGATCGTTAATGCCTTCCAATATTAAATAATCATTTCCAACTAATAACCAACACTCATATTATGTATATATATATAGCATACAAAACTCTGATGCTAGTTAGATCGTTTTAGTTTAATAGATATATTAACACATGAATAACCATAACTCATATATAGAACAAATTGGTTTTATTTAAAAAATACAAACATACCGTACACACTATATTTGAAACAATTACAAATAGTTTTTTGTTAAAGTAGCAGTTTTATTTGTGCACAAATAACATAATAAATATATGTTCATACAATTTTAGTAAACAATTTGATTCTTAAATTTCTTTAACATTATATGTTCACAAAATTCAATTTCATATAAAAATAATATTTGCATTTTAAGCGAAATTGAAAATAATGTTGTACATTGATAAATGAAAAAGAACACTTTTTCAAAAGTCATTAATTGTATAATGTGCACAGTACTACGTACAAATATTGCAATACATACAAAAAATAAATAAAAATACTGTAAACCACTCATTAATCATACTTAACAAGTTTGATATTAATAATTCTATTAGTTTTTTTATCACTTTCATGCACTCAAATATTGATGGTCAAATATTCATAAAGAATTTTTTTTTTTTATAATTTTAGCTAACATTAAAATATTTTGTTTTCATTTCTTCTGATGATTTTGTATAAACATCTTGCATAGCATTTCTAGACTTTTCAACTAACTCGTTCAAGTTTTCTTTTGTCAATCCTTCAGTTGATATTGGAGGCAATATTGTTATAACAATGTGGCCTGAAATAACAACAACGCACAGAAATAAATACAATTTGTTTAATAAAATTCAATCAATTTCGCCTGCTCTGAAAATTGAAATTGAATACATCAATTTTATTGTAATAACTGAATTTTATTATTATATTTATTAAATTATAATTTACCCTTGTCAAAAATACGTTTTTTATGGTCTAAGAAGAAATAGTTTGAAACAACCACTGGCTGTATTGGACACTGCGAAGAAATAGCAACATGAAAAGCACCTTTTTTAAAAGTAAGAAGTTCTGGTCCACCATTCCTAGTTCCTTCAGGAAATAAACATAGCTTTGCCTATTTCAACCAAAAGTAAAATTAAGATAGTTCAATGTATTTAATTAAAAATAAAAATTAAATTATTATTGGAAAATATTTTATAATTATTATGAATAGTGAGATTCAAATTTAAATATATACATAATGATAATTGTTATTTTATATAAAATAAAAAATAAACATAATTTTATTTATTTTTTAATGTAATGTGAATTGGAATCGTTTTCAACAGTATTTACTTTTTTTATCGCGAATAGTTTCTCCCGTTTTATTAATAGTTTGTTGAGCTTTTTCTCCATTTAACCGGTCAATGAATATTGTACCCCATAGCCAAGATGCTAGACCAAAAGGCCAAAAGTAAAATATTTGTTTCTTGGAGATTACAGTACATCTTTCCATTACTGGCCATATTTCTGATAATACTAAAACAAAACAATACACAAATAACTATAGTAATAAATAATTACAATGTGTTATTTTTTACAATTCTCTAATTAAATAGGTAATTTACCTAATAAATCCAAGCAACTTTGGTGATTGATTAAAACAACACAACCTGTATTTTGTACAATATTTTCTTTGCCTCTCATTTCCCATTTTAATCCTAACAATTTTGATATTTGACGTCCACCCCAAGCAGGCAATCTAATTACAAATAAATAATATTAAAAATATCAGTCTTTAAAAACATGCAAAAATGTATTATGTCTCAATTTACAATCCATTTCTGTAGTCCCTTGGCCTCCGCAACATTAATGGTATGAATATAGTGGCAGAAAGAAATGACAATACTGAAAATATAGTGAATTTGGCGCAGTAACGAAAAGCATGACTAGAAGTGTACATGATAATGATAAACATGATGAAAAGAGTGCTGGTTAATTCAAACTTATAGTCATTTATCAGGAGCATCGTTATGAGGTCTAGATCATAACTTAATCAGGAGCTCTGGAACATAATACATTTACTTTGAATTATTTTTTGTAAAGTTAATTATTTGTTTAAAAGATTTCTACATTGTTGCACGAGCTATATATTCATGCTAAATTCATAAATCTTTAAATATATTATTTTTTAAAATATTTAAATAAATAATCATGTCTTTAATTATGAGGTTATCATTATAAAACATTGTAAAAAAAGTTGTAAATAGTAATTACTTAATTATAATTTTTTTTCAAATATTTTAATAGTATGACGTTAATCAAAAAAATAAATATCACAATTGAAGCAAAAAAAAATGTTTAGGTTATATTTTATAATTTATAAACAACTATAAAACAGAGTTTATATTCTTGAATGTAAACTAAATGTAAGAAAATTACTATTTTTTTTTTTTTTATAAAACTCACTAATAATAAATTTGAAAAAAAATAATAAATATAAAATAATTATAAAACTGGAAAGTCTTCAAAATACATAAATGAATAAAAATATATAAAATTACACAATATTCACTGTCAAAATGTAGTGAAATACAAACTTAGTATATACTAGTTCAACTATAGAACTATTTATAATCATTTAATTAAAGATTTAAGCTAACTGATAATTTTAGAATCTAGCATTTAATAAATTGTATATAGTTATTGTCTATTATATGAAAATTGATTAACATAGGTAGTGTTAAAATCAAACTTATTGCTGAAATAGTTATTGTTTCAGTTTGTTTTTCAAAAAAATCACTAATGATTGGACAAATATTCTTAAAAAAAATCTTTACAATTAGATTCAATAAAAGAAAAAAAATCACTTACAAATATAAATTGAGAATAGATCTAAATTGTACGTGCAATTTGAGTTTAAAAAAGATTGGGAATTTATAATGAAAAACAGTGAATGAATTGATTTTGATAATGAGATATAGATTAAACACTGTTACTCAACATCAACACACAAAATATATCATTGTAATAGGAGAAGTGCACATGAAAACAAATCAATTAAATGAACATCAACCATTGCATTATGACTATAGATAGCAAAAACATAAATATGTTAGTATTCCGTTGAACTTAATGCATACACTAGAATTTACATAATATCAAGCATTTTGAGTAGGTACCAGGAGCATGCATAATTAATCTATAACATATAGAGTATGTACTACTTAAATCGTTCAAATAACAATGACAATAAGCATAAGCAAAAATAAAAAACAAAGGTAAATGAACGACCAACATAATTAATTCGAAAAATCAATTTTACCATTTTGCTACAGCTAGCTAATACGCCGACACATACGATGCGTATGTGTTCGATTTTTTTTTTTTTTTTTTAATTATGCTAAAAAAAAATTAAAAAAAAAAAATTGTGCGATAACGACTGCTGTTGGGCGCCTAAATGACACGTGAGGCGGCTGTTTAAATTTAAATTTGTCGTATCCGGATATTATGTATTTATCTTTGAGGCACTATGTATACAGAGAAGGATAACGTGCACTTCGCATTTAGCTATGAAGCACACGACGACGGTGACTAGACTAGGCGTCCGAGGCAAATCGTAACTCGTGGATAAACACAACGATAAAAGAAAGATAACACGTAGTTCTCGTATCGATAACGATAATATAAATTTATTCAATGACAACACCGAGATAAGATCATCATTAGACCACGTGGTTGGTTACACCCAACCACGGTGAATGATATAATCCCGAACCCAGGACCTCGGTCATACTAAAGTCGGCAATTTTTTAATACTCGGCAGTCTTGTTAAGAATATTTTTAAATTAATTTTAATACTTCTCATTTAAAGTATTTAAAATACTTAAAAAATACTTTCTTTTTCAATAAATTTATTTCGTAATATTTATATATTATTTAGAAATATATGGGTATTTAAACTTATTTACAAATTTTTGAATTAAAACAAAATATTGGTATTGTTTTTTTTTTGTCTTAAAAGTTATAAACATGTAAGGGGTTAATTAAATTTAATCGAATGTAGCAAGAAAAAAATTGTGGAGTGATTCGAGAAAATTTTTAGTATTAATACACAACTGATTATTACCATTTGGTTTGAGATGGGACTTGGAATTTGGATATCGATTGCCGAGTTTATCCAAAATTCTTCTGCTTATCATCCGTGCCGGATTTAACGGGGATACAATTCCCGGCGTCACAATTTTAAGCAAAGGGGCCGTTATAAACGAAATTTAAAATTATTTTGTTATTTTATTTATTTTTATTTAATTTACCTTCTTATTGAGGTACTTAAATGCCATTTATTTTAATTGTTTAATACATCAATATGTATTAAATAAATATATACATGTCATATTTTGCTTTCTACTGGTATCCGGCCTTTTGAGACTTAGATCAGATCATCTAATCTTATTTTTATGACTTAGATCAGGCACTGCTTATCATTAACCTTGAGTTGTGATAGTGCAGTAGAGATCAGCTTATTTAACAGCAGCACTCTCGTTATCGTAATATCGGTAATTTGATAACGGAGAGCAAGCACATAAGAAAAAAACAATCTAAACATAAAATGCATGGAAACTCATTAAAATTATTAATAGTTGTTTATATTTTCAACAAGACAGCCAGCAGTTTTTGACAATATTTCATCGTATCCATTTACCATCCGACTCATTCCAGGGTTTATTCTTCGCGTTAAACGCTTGTGCGACGCGGTTATTGGTAGTCTCGTACGACGATCTCATTTATGGTTTTGTGCGCGCCGATCGTTTTTCGGTCCGGTGAATACGTCTCGAAACGCGTTATCATTTCGACAATGAACAGGAGAAAACTGAAATTGGATATGACCCATTCGGCTCCCGACGGTGGTAAGTACACGTTTAATGTAAGCTCACGTAATCGCGTTTTCTCGTAAAGATGAAAGTGACATTTCGCTGCAACGTGTCGTATGTGTGTGTGTGTGTGTGTGTGTATTCGCACTCTTATTTATACATGTGCTATGCCTCTGCTAAGGAATTTTGATTAATGAATCAACAATTGATATTGAAATCGTGAAATTGTGATGCTCACTGTACAATACTGTTGCACTTTATTATGCATTATTTAATATTTATAAAAAAACTTAAAATAATAAATAATTTGTGAAAAAGAAAATGGCATATCTTAACGACTTTATATTGAATTGAATAACACTTGACTGATCCACCGATTTTGGCGTAAAATGCTCTTTCAGCTATGATCCCCACATAACTTATCCATACATTATATACATATCAAGACTTATGTACATAATAATAATAAGCATAGTGATGTTTATAACAGTAGTTGGAATGATAAATTGGATATGAATTAGAATCGTATTTTCAAGTATTTTACTAAACAGTTTTCTTCTACCTTTGTTTAGTTTCATCATAATTTAAATTCTTTGAAATCGCCAATATAGTTCAGTTATCATTTTAATCTTTGCATGTTTTAATATTTCTTTTGTAAGTTTAGAATAGAATAATTATTAATATTTATTTCATAAGTATAAAGTTGAATTGTTTCTTGAATATGTAAATACAACACATAATACAACAGTATTTAATGAATGATAGATAATATATTCATAACAAAATTATACTGTATGTTATATCTTTATATAACTTTACTATGTTAGTATTACAATTTTAAAAAATATAAAAAATGTATCCAATAGTTAATTGTTTTTTAAAATATTGTTTATGCATATTCTTATAAATATTTAGTTATTTGAAAGAAAAAAAGTAATATTAAATTATATGTTAATGACACTTCATGTTTATATCATATTAATAAAATAAAAGTAGTTCCTTTATAGAGCATTTTTTAATGAACTTTTAGAATATTTTGAATAAAACCATATCATGGAAAAGTATTCTTTGTATCAATGGTTATCTATTGGTGTATCCTATCCCAATTTTAAGATTGGGTCGCGATAAATCATATAATAAAAATTTACAAAATTCATATTCATGTAGGTATATTATAATTATATAATATTATAATATTATATATCATATGACATCAGATAAAATCTTTTTAAGTTAAGGAGATTGCAAGCCATGATTTTCTTTCTTTTTCTCATACACGCACAATATCGGGATTTAGATGTTTTCCTAGACGGTTTCTTTTTTTATCGTATCGATCAATCTATTAAGGCGATAAGGATTTTGAAAACTGATTTGAATTCGGTGTAGAGTCTTCTTTATATTGACTTTCTCACATTTTTTAAATTTTGTACTTAACATACCCAAAAGATAATTTTTATGTTTCTAATTTGTTTAATCCTATTTTGTGAAATTTTGGGGACAAAATCAAAAAAGTAAGAAAGTCGATCTAAAGAAGACTTTATGAAGAATTTAAATCAGATTTCAAAATCCTTATCACATCAATAAATCAATTGGTAAGTTGAAAATAGAAAACATCTAAATCCCTATATTGCGCATGTGATAGAAAGAGAAAGAAAATCATGGCTTGTAATCCCCTTAGCCTGAAACCATATTATTTTATATTTTTAGAAGATAAGAATGTACATTTAAATGAAGTATTAGTATAGTGATATGTCAACTTAATTGAAACAACCCTTTTCCTGTAATTTATTTAATTACATTATGTTAAATTAAACTGAGATGGAGTATTTTGTGTGAAAACAGTGTGGGTCAAATATCGCACTTATATTCATTTTTTCTGTATCAATCATTGCATGTATTTTTATGTAATTTCCTATAATAAAAATTAAATATCTGGGTACTTAAAAAAATATAAATTTTTATTTATACAGTTATAAAAGTACTTCTGCAATGGTATAAGTTAAGCAATTTTGATTTTTTTTTTTTTTGGTTATTATTGCTATCAAAGCTGACATATTTCCAAAAAATGTATGGTAGGAAAAGTGGGTCACGAGTTAATAAGGTTGAAAACTTCTTCTATATCACCAATGTGTATTTAATTTTTTTAAATAAATAAGTTAAATGATTTTATTGTTTTATTATTTTTGTTTAAGGAGAAATTAAAAACTTACAAATCTTTACATGTATATCTCAAAATGTATATTTATGTATTTATTTATTTATTTACCAATTTATAGATCAAATTTGTATAAAATTTAGGCTTTAATTTAGTTTAATGAGACTATAGTTAATTTATGTTTAATTTTTGATTAAAAAAAGTAATTGGTATTAAAATGATTAATTTTTTTTTTCAGAATCTCAGGAAGTTGAAAACTATGTTAATAATGTGAAAGAACAAATAATGAATACAGCACAACATAATAATTCTGACCATGGTTAGTATTTGCTATTTAACCAATACTAATTGTTAGTTTTTTTATATTCATCAGTAGAATATATTATTATTATTATAGTATAAATCAAAAAGTATAATGAATATTTTATTCTATATGTTCTAATATTAATGTATTCATTTTTTTTATAGTGTTGTCTATGTTAAAGTTTAATATTATAACACTTATAATATACATGCATACATTATACTCAACATTTCTTATTAATTTTTATTTTTATATAATTATGGTACTATTATACATAATTTATACATATATTTGGTTTTATAGTATGGCAAGAATGTTATGATGATGTATCAGGATTCATTTATTATTGGAATACACAAACTAATAAAGTTACATGGGAAAAACCTGAGTATTATGAAGCTGCCCTAAGTGTAGAAAATCAAAGTAGGTTGAACAATCACTATTAAAATACCAATTACTAAACAATAATATTTAGAAAACTATTTACAATATGTTGATTAATGATAGTATAAACTATAACTATTATTACATTTCACTGTTACTATGTTGTAGATGATTCGAACAAGACTAATAACATTAGAAAAAGATCATCAAGCGATTCTTTTCCTACTCGTGATTCAAATTCATGTAATAATTCAAAAAAATCAAAATTAGAATCTAATGCCATAAGTGCATTAGTTGCTTATGGAAGTGATTCTAGTGAAGATGAAGATGATAACGAAGAAGATCAAAAATCTACTATCCTTCAAAGGTTGCAACACAAAGCTGAAATGTTCAAACAAAAAGAATTGGACAAATTAACTAAAGATGAATCACTTAATTTAATAACAAATAGTCAGCCAGATATTTTAGATATTATTGGTGAAGAAGTACCTCCAGATTATGTGGTAGAAAAACCAAGTGTATTGCAATCATCAGAGGAGACTTCTGAGGATGCTTTTGATATTATAAAAAGTGAAGTGCCTTCTAGTTACGTAGATGACACAACAAATAATAATACTGAAAAAGATAATAAATCAATTGTAATTGAAGATTCTAAGGTAGCTGTTAAGTTACAGTCAAAAGTTGTTGACAATAATTCTAAAACCAAATACTATGCAAGTACTGACGAAAAATTGAAAAATACATCTTCAGATTATTTAAAAGAAAATTATTCTAATTTAATTCCCATCTATGATGATGATGATCAAGAAGATACTGGTATAAATAATTTATATAGTTTTTTTTAAATTTTAATTAAATTAAAGTTTAATAATGAAACTATAACTTTAATAAGTAAAATATTTATATTTATTTTGATATAATTTGTTTATTGTTATTACAGAAGATCAAAATAATGATTCAAATGAAAAAAGTTTTTCATATGTTCAAGACCCATGTGCTAATGTGAAAACAGGATTTGGTTATTCTGTGTCATCTAAATCTATAAATGGAGGTTCAATAAATTTCATTAAAGGAGAAACAATAAATTTAAAAAATAATCAGAATTCTGACAAAAATAATGTTACTTCAAAACAACAAAAAGAATCAATTACTAATTGTGATATAAAAAAAGGTAATGCAATAATCTTTTCATGTTATATTTTATTGTTTGAATCTTATGGTAATTTTTTTTTTCAGCTAAAAATGATATTGAAAATTTGTCACTTTTGATCTCATCAAAGTTACATTTTCTGTCAGATTGTGAAAACAATGATAAATTGTCTTCAGTCCAAATCATGAGGATTAAAATTGATGTAAGATATTTTTTAAAAAATATTTCTAAATTGATATAATTATTTATTAGAAGTAATAAAATTTTTGTATTTATCATGTATTAGAGTTAAAATTACTAAGAACTGAACTGGTACACAGTATTATTAAAAAATTGTAATATTACATTATAATTGCATGTTTTATTGTGAATATTAAATAATTTCTTTATGAAAATTAGTTTTTATGTTTTCGTCTAGTAAATTGTGTATTTTATTTATTTTAGACTTTATTGGAAGCATGGAAAGATAATTGTTTAAAAGATGATTATTTCTCAAAGTGGTTGGATGAAATGGCTATTGAGTTGAGTACATTAGAAGAATCAGTTGCACCAGATGGCTGGACATGCCAATGGGACAAGTATGTGATATGTAATTTGTTAATATTATGGACTAACAAAATGTTTCATAAAATAAAAATAAAAAATCATATCTTGTTTAATTTAATAATTCATTTAGGAGGGGGTATATTATTATTGTGGGATTTTAAAAAAAAATATTAGACGCGTGAAGAGTACTATTGACATTCATTAGTACCACTATTTTAACAACTAGCAGTATTTTAGCGTATGCATCTGAAAACAAGTAGGTATGTATGTCAAATCATTTAGACATGTGATCAACTTCAGTGCAGATTGAATGGAGAACAAATCACAATCATATTGACGTTAAATGTGCAACATAATTATTACTGTAATAATATTATATTTTTGCTACTTTATATTTAATAGTATTCAATTTTATGGTTTGCATTTGAGCCGTGTTAAGTGCAGGTGGAATTATACAGCGGAATTAATATCTTCAAGACAGGTTTGTCTCCAACAGGCTCTACAAGAACATTTTTTCATTATTAAAATGGTTTTTTGAGTCAAACATAAGTATTATTATTAAATAAAGTTTATATATTTTAAACCATTTATATTAATTAATAAAAAAAAAAATGTCAGTAATGTTCTAAGCAAATTTTTTTCTTTTTAAATTTTATTGTGTCTTTTCAAAACTGGTGATACTGTTTGTTTCATAATTTTTTGCTATGGATATTATTTTAGAATTAACTTGCGGTATTACTATCAAAATGTTGCTGATGGTCGTACTCAATGGCAATATCCAACTGAGGAATCTGAATGTGTTCCTTCACCACCTGTAATATCTAAAACCAACACTCCTCCTCCACTAAATATTTCTGAGCAAAACACTAGTCATCCTGAACCAGTGGACATGGATATCGAAGAAGATAACCATAAAGAAGACACAGAAATTATTGTTGTAAGTTGAACACTAGTGATTGATTGGATTATTTTATTTTTTCTTAATAAAACATTTAATTTTAATTTTTAGCCACCTGTTCCTGGAGATGAATTATCATATGAATTGAATTCATTTTATGCTGACCTTGCTCAGTTTGAAACAAAACAGTCAGGTCAAATTGAAACTATGATTGCAGTCACAACACCTGAAATCGAAACAGCGTCAAAATTAAATAACTCTATTGATATAACAAAAAACAGTTTAGAAGAAGAAAAAGAAATAATAAAACCAAAGAAAAAAAAAAAGGTAATATTAATGCTATTGTTAAACTTTTGAAATTAAATATTTTGTTATGCATATATTTAGAAAACTTGTTTCCCAATTAGTTTATTTTAACTGTCTTATTCCCATTTTTAAGTAGCTTTTTTTAAAAATTCAAATGACATTTTTAAAAAAATAAAAATTTTGATTATAAAATTTTTAATATTAGTTTTAAAGAAATTTATTAATGATCTCATATTTATATTAGTGGTGATGGACGTATCCAGATTTCGTGGAGTGTCCAGATTATTCAACTCAATTTTGCTTATTTTTATATTTACATAAATTTAATTAAGGTTGTGTAGTAAGGAATGTTAATTAGGTATTCAGTCATGATATCACTATTAGTCATAGAGGTATAAAATAAACTCAACAATTTTATAACTTGTTTTGGTAACTAATAATAAATTATAAAAATTCTTGAAATCATGATAAGTATACTGTAATTAATAAAAGATAATATTAATTTGTTATTAAATTTTAATTGCAATAAAATAAATTATTTATTTTACTAGTAATTAAAAATAGTTATAATTCACATAAAAAGCAAATCCATAAATTCATTCAATCTGGATACTTTAGCCCAGCGGTTCCCAAACTTTATTTTCCGTGATACCTTTTATTGGTGCCCTGGTTGTGAATAAGATTAAAGACAAAACAAAAAAATCTAATGATAACCAATTTTATTAATTTTAATAAAATTTAACTAAGTTATAAATTAATGCATTTTTAAACTTAAAAAATAGATAAGTAAAAATGATTGTTATTATGATTATAATTATTATACAAAAATATTATAAGGTTAAATTGAGAATATCCGATTATACAATAGAAAATATTACATTATTTTCTATAAAGTTTTTAGTGAAACAACAAGGAAAAACAATTTTATACATTTTAAACTATTTGTTATGAACTGTAGACCGCGATGCCCTTAGAAAGTGGTTGTGGTGCCCCTAGGGCACCGCGGTCCATACTTTGGGAAATGCTGCTTTTGCTAATCTGGATAATAATTTGATTTAAATTGGGATTTGAATAATCGGATATTTGAAAAATTCCTGTCTTAGAATTTCATTCCCATCTCTTATTTATATTATATATTAGTTTTAATTATTGCATTATCACAAAAAATTAACATCAAATATTTTACCAGTAGTGTTATTATGATATTTCACTTATGATTTTAAATAAAAGGTTGTCATTTTTTCTGTGTGATTATATATTAATAATTGTAAATAATTTATTTTTATTTAACTGTTACAAAATGTAGCTTAAACCATTAACATTTTTGTTCTATGATAATTGGTATTTTAGTAAATTGTCTAGAGTAGTATAATATTTTTTTTTTTTGTTTTATATTACTTATCTCAAGAAATTTGTCTAGTATTTGTCTATTGTAGCTATTTTGTTTAACTCGGTGATTAATAATGTAATTCAATGATATTTTATGTGATATTTTAGTTATAAGATATATTTGGTAAAATATAATACTCAGTATAATTATAGTTAATGTCTAGAAACAAATTACTTATTTTTTGATTATTAATTATTGTTTAATCTACATGATTTTACTTGCAGGTTGGAAAATTGGATGTGGGCCTTGGATTAAAACAAAAATATGTCTCATCACTAGTACAGAAATGGCAGCAAATTCAAAATGAAATCAAATGACTGCTAATTTATTAAACTAATTACCAAATGTGTAATGTTATTTAGTCTAAATTTAAATTATAAAATTGTATATAATGTAATTTATTAACTTTCATAAATATATGTATATTTTTCAAATAACCTAATTTGTTTTATATTATATCATTGAATAATGCTTAAAACTAATTTTTCGAAATTGGGGATTGAAATATTCAATATGAGGGTTTAGGTCTACTTAACATAGATATATGAAAACATTAACTTTTTGTTGCCCTGCAATATTTATCTGTTAAAATTCCTATAGATTTTTTTTTCCAATTATTCTGTGTAACTGAATGATCTAGTAATGAGCCAAATATTTTCAGTAAAATGCATGAATCAAATGCAAAAAATCCAAAAAGATTTGAAATAAAAATAACTTTCGTTATATTTATCCCATTTATTATGACAAATTAATTAGAAAAGGCTAATTAGCAAGCTTTTTGAATTTCCAGTTTCTAAATGTATTTTAATTAATTTACTATAATTCCATATAAAATGTAAAAAATATTTGATAAATTTAATTTTATTATGATGATGTAAAGGAACTAAACATCTCAATTTGTAAATAGTGATTATTTTTGTAACTATACTTATATACTATAGCTTAGTATTAGCAAGTGTTTGACAACGAGAGGGGATGCAGAGGGATGGAGTACATCAAATAATTTTCAGGAATTTTAACGTCCCCCTAGCTTTGGGGACCTTTTTTTTTTTTTTATGTAAATAGAATCCCCTTTCTTTAAGTTCGCCAAGTTGGGCCCTGGTACTAGCTAGTTTTAATATGGTTTAATATCTTAATAACATCAATCATTAATGGACAGACGATCACAATAAAGATTTATGTTGTTCTAAATTTAAAATTTAAAAACCTCTGATATGTTTGTTTTGAGGTTGAAAATGATTTTAAAAACAAATGTGATAAAATGTTCTTAAATCTATTTAAAAACAATATTTTGATGAAATTCAGAAAAAAGTTGGAATTATAATTTTTACATAGTGATGTAAAATTCTGGAAAAATAATTGTGTTCAAAATAACATTATTTATTAATTTTAATAAATATCTACCTATAGTTAATAAGTACCTTTCTCCATTAATTAAAAACCTGTAGCAAATAAGCATTGGTATCTCTTACCTCTTTTTACTAAACATAAAAATTCAAATTTCCTTTTTTTATTCAATATTTGAAAATCTTGTATAAACATTTTTCTTCATCATTAATTGATGCATCATATTTAATTAGTAATTAACTTATAATTAAATAGATAAATATTTTTAAATTCCTAAATATTAAATTTGAAATGGTCCAATAACTGTAAAAATATTGTTCTTATATTTAGAATATCAGTCTGAATTATAACAGTTTCATGATTTCAGTACTCTAGTGATACTTTAAATTGAAGTCGACCAAATAAAATATCACACATGGACGAGTCTAAAAGAAATTCTAAACTTGATAAAAGTTCACTAGGCCTGTTTTGCTATCCACACAGGTATCTACTAGAGAATATATACTTAAGGGGTCCTCCACTGTGTTTTTGCCGTACATGAATAATAATGTTGTACACATTTTATTAACTGTCACATACATTAATTTATGGTCACAAGAGTTATCGTTCAATAATACATGAATATATTTTTGACGGCGCTGTATGTAGGCCATTAAGAGATATTTTTTAAAAACGTTTTGAACTGTGTAGATTCAGTTTGTTGTAAATTAATAAAAGAAAATTGTTTTATCCAAATATTAATTGATATTTGTTTTATTGATGCAACTTTTTAACACAGTAACAATGAAAATATTTTGAAAAATTAAGAAAAATTAATTTGGAAAAAATATTGTTTGTTATGAATGTGTACCGTCAAAGGTCAACCTTATCCGTTTGTTACTAGAATCCGTGAATTCTTTGCTTTTTACATTCCAAATATTATGTATTAATTAATAAGATGCAACAATTATTGCAAAACAATATTAATAATGGCTTAATAATTATTTGAACAGTTAATATGATGTGTTATACTATTAGTGAGTACTTGGCGAAAAAAAACAATTAGATATGCAATAAATTACTGAATAGTTGTAAATAAGAAAACGAAATGAATTCAAACAGTAATACCTAGAGGTATTTAAATACACATTTTAAAATGTTTATCATTTCGATATACATAATAATATTCAATAAAATATGTGTTTTTTAAATAGTAATACATACATATTTTGAACACCATACGAATTGGCATATTTTTTTAAAATAATTTTGATGTATTAATGTACGGTTATATGTACATTTAAAATTGAGTCAACAAGAGCAATTTCAATTTTTAAGAATAATACATTTTTACGATTCATTAAAATGCATAAAACCATTTATAATTATTTACTATCGGTTCTTTTTTTAATATTTTTATGTATTTTTCTTTTTTTTTTTTTAGAGTATTGTAAATAAGATAATATATAAGTACGTGTAATTATAATAAAAATTAAAAAATCAATTTGACAAAGAATACTACTAGTTAATTTCGAAATGGAAAATGTGAATTGGTAATTTATGATTGTACTCGTGAATTTTACTTTTATATTATGGGGACACCTTGCGTATAGATTCTTATCTGTGTCGACGACAGGATTTTTGATTTTTGCTCCATTATACCTATACTAATAACAATTAATTAGCAAGGTACTATATAATACTATACAATATAATTTATTTATTTTTTTATTTTGTTTTATTGTAGAAGAACCTTTGTTCATACTATCAATACTGTAATATCAATTAGTCATAGTTAGGGTTCGGGACTTATAGCATTTGCTTATTTTTATTATTTGACATAAAATATAGCAAAGTGTTATGGAAGTGTGTGCATGTTATAACCAGTGTTGTGCTTAGATAATTTTTTTGTATCTAGATATAGATATGATATATGAACTCAAAATATATCTAGATAGAGATAGATAATGATAAATTAAAATATATCTAGATATAGATACAGATAAAATCAATATTATCTAGATGAAAATGAGATGATTTTTTATAAATGTTATTCTTAAATTTTATTTTTTATAATAGGTTTGTAGAAAATATTAATACAATTATGAGTAATGACTATATAAAATTTTAGTTTAAATTACTAATAACTATTTGTAAAATCTGATAAATAATTTAAATGATCATTCCAACAACAATGTGTTAATGTCAATACTTACTCCATTTTCTGAAAAGGAAGACTAGTTGTGGATATAGATCCGAGGCAGAAACATTGTATAAGGTATAAAGGTATATAATTATTATTTATTAAACTATTATGTTGAATTATACATATACATTTATTTAATGATACATATCAAATAGATTTCAAACTAAAAAGAAAAAAAAAACAATACTATACATAAATTTGTTAACATTTGAAAATAAAATAATCATAAGTAAAAATAATTTTGATATTTAATATAATAATATAAATATTTACCTTTAGTCTGTTTAAAATAAAATAATATATCTAAAATACATTAATAATTATAAAGAAAAAAATTGCCAGTTTAAAATACAATTTTTTATTTTTTATGAACCTATTGCATGATTTTACAACACAATAATTTTTCAAATGTTTTATCACCAATGAGATCACGCCTTGAAGTTAAAACTTGTACTGCACCACTAAACAGTCTCTCAATAGGTGCAGATGAAGGAAAAGTTGTGTTGTACTTAATAAATACTTTTTTAATTACTGGATAATTATTCAACATATCTAATTCTTTTTTTTTTTTTTTAATTCAAAAATTTTATTACCTGTACTTGTACATGTGATTCATTTTCTTGACGGCAGGCCCGTAGCCACGGGGGGGCAAGGGGGGGGCGTTGCCCCCCACTATACCCAGTCATTGCCCCCCCTAAAAATATTAGAAAGATGTTTAGGTAGTTACGTATTTTATTGCTTATAACATTTTCATCGGTAATAGAATAGATCAAAAAAGTTTTTTTAGCCGTGTAGTAGTATTTATTTCGGAAATTCCGGGCCATGACGACGATACTGACGTGTCACGACGACTGTTGGCAAATTGATTGCTAACGTTATCGTAATCGTAGCTCAATACTTTCCTATCAATTGACATTTTATTATAGAACACCTAAATATTCTTTCATTTTATCGCCGACTGCAGCAGTACACGTGTGCCAAGAAATTATATAACTGTTTTAAGGTAAGTTAATAAAATGTTATATTATGATTAAATTTGAGGCAAATTGAATGAGCAAAATTTTTTATTTATAAATATAATAAAATTAAAATATATATAATTAATATAATGTAATAGGTAATTAAACAAAACAAATTTTATTTTTAGTCTTGGATTTTTTCAAAAATTAATACGTAATATGAATTCATGGGTAATCAAAACAACCAAAAACTCGTCTGAAAATACTACCGAAAATAATAAAACGTCCGAAAGCACTTCATATATTAATAAAACATCAGAGAACACTTCAATAATTAATAAAACAAATAATCAACCGATTTTTCAAACACATAAAAAAAATCAAATAATTCTTCCGTCGTATCCTAATGTAGGTGGTAGATCTTTTAGAAGTCAATGGTTCAAATTATTTGATTGGCTTGAATATTGTCCAGAAAAAAGTGTTGCATTTTGTTATCCATGCAGAATTGTTGGTAATAATGAGACTAAAGAAATTGCATTTTCTGTGACAGGATATTCCAACTGGAAAAAAGCTTTAGAAAATAATAAGGGGTTTTATAAACATCAATCTTCTTCGTCGCACCGTATTTGTATAACAAAATTGGTAGATAAACAAAAACGTGTTGAAACGACTACAGAAATTTCAACATTGTTGAATGAAAACGTTCTCGAAAAACATAAATATTATGTAAAATCAATTTTTGAAATAATCATATTTTTAGTCGTGAATGAATTACCATTTCGTGGGGATTTTGATTTAGAAATGCAGGAAGATAAAGGTTTATTTCAATCACTTTTTCGGTACACTCTTAAAAAAGACACTAAACTTGCAGAATGCGCTAAATTAATTCCTCAAAATGCTACTTATTTATTAGATTTACTTATTTGTTAGAACAACGTTGGTCTAGCCATTTAAAAATATGTGAAATTATATATAATAATTATGATAATATGATAAATTGTCTAAAAAAAGTGCATGGAAATTCATTTGATGGCAATGAAGTAGCTCAATGTGCAGGACTCTCATTAACAATGAAAAAGAAAACATTTAGATTCGCATTGTGTCTTATGTTAAAATGTTTAAGATACATCAAACCAGCCGATAAAATTTTGCAATCAAGAGAAACTGGTTTAACCCTAGCAATTCCAATTATTCATAGCGTGATTAATAGTTTAAAACAATCAAGAAATGAAGAAGTGTTCAATGCAATTTTAAAAGACTGAACATTTATTACCTGAAACCGAAACTGAATCTCCAAAACGCAAGAGAAAGACTACGATAAAATTGAATGAATATATTTTAAGTGAATCATCTGGTACTTATACAAATTATGTCAACGACGATATTAATATTTCATTATTATCTACATTTTATGAAGTTATTGATATAATTATATCTGAGATGGAAACTCGCTTTGAAAAAAATGATGAACTTATTAAAGCTGTTTCTAACATATACGAATTGAATTACGATGATTTTAAAATATTTAATGATCTTAAAATTAATATTCCTTCAAAAGAAGAAATAATTTGTGTGAAAAATTATTTAAAAGAAAATAATATATCTAATAAAAACATCTTATTAGAGCTTTATCAACAACGTAAAGCATTTAAAGCTACATATGAAATGATAGCAGCGGTTGAAGTATTTGGATGTAGCTCGGCAGTTTGTGAATCGACATTTTCCTGCTTAAACAGAGTTGACGATCCTCAAAGGCAATCAATGTCACATAACCGGCTTTCCAACTTAACTTTATTGGCGTTTGAGTCCAAACGGACAGAAAACTTAAACATGGACCTATTATTAACGAACTTCAACAAGCAGAAGAATAGAAAATTGAAGCTGTATTAATTAATATTAAAATGTTCAAAATTTAACCCTGTAACATCAGTGAATATGATGAATATTATAATTATCTATGTAAACTTTAATATAAACTCTAATATAAGTTTTATTTTTATTATTTAGTATTATTCGTTTTGTAACTTTAAAACAAAATATGTTTCATTGTTAATTTATTTTGTAATTCATTAATATATTCATAAATTGCATTAATATTTAATACATTTATATATAATGCCCCCCCAAAAATTTGCTTTGCCCCTCCTGAAAATTTGGTCTGGCTACGGGCCTGCTTGACGGTTATGAATAAAGTCATTAGTCAATTATGATGGTATGATACTTTTTCCATAGATAATGAATAATAATAAATGAAATATTTATAACTTGCAGTGGTTAATTAATAAAGGTTGTTGTCGAATGTGGAGTGGAGCTGGTGGTTTATTATTATTAGTTATTGGTATTTTTAAACTATTATAATACCGATTAATACCAATATTCCCAGTACTATCGTCTATCAGGTTATTATACTTAGATCTTCGACTTGAATTATTTAATATTATTATATAAAGCTTATCTATTGTCGACGATTAACGATACAATTAATATTGATTAATTAATTAATATAATAGATTCATCAATGCAAACGTTTTTTACCGGAATTAGAACTGTATTAAATTTATCTACTAAAATGTCAACCAATGGTTGAATTTTATAAAGACGATTTTGTCCAGGGACATTGTTATTATCTGACACATGGATTACAGATAATATTAATTCAAATCTATTTCTAGACATATAAAAAGGTATTTCACTTTTGTACAAAACAGAAGTTTTCCAATAGTGAGAAATACTCGGAATTTTTACCAAATCCATCCACATAATTATTCTGAAAAATTCATGAAGTTCGTCTTTTGTCAATATCGGTCCATTTATTTATTCTTGAATGATTGCTTGTACCAGGTGTGTTTAATTTATCACGGGCATATTTGTTTGCTTCCATTACTATAAGGTTTACGACTTCATCATCAAAAAACAAAGTGAAAAAATCGAAGGGACTTGCTGAATTTATTGTATCTATAATATCTGTATTTATACCGGTACTGTCGTGTGGATTAAAAATTATATTCGAATTTATATTTGGTATATCAAAATTATCGTTCCACTCACTTTCAACATCATCATCCGCGTTAGAATCACAGTCAACCACATTGTTTTCATAGTTTTCACCATTATCAGTTTGCCAATCTGGGTCTTCGTCGCTGTCATCAAACTCTGAAAGTGAGCTCGACAAAGCATCACTGTCGTAGAGTAAATTTTCTATTTGTTGGCTATCCATATTAGTTATAATAATATAATTAAAAACACGTGCGAACACTACACTGAATAAAGACACAACAAATGTCTAAAGGTGCGTATCCATTACGCGCGGCAAACTCTCGAACATTGGCTCGCGCGGCAGCCGCGCCAAATGGATACCTAGTTGCCGCGCGAGCCAACATTTTTGTTGCCGCGCTCGAACACGCCGCGCCAAATTGTGTCGGTAAAAACGCACGCGGCAAAAGGGCTTCAGTTAATTGCTCGCGAGCAGTAGGGACGGTCATTGTCGGTTTAAATTTGCTCGCGCGGCAATACGACGATTTTGCTACCACCATGGATAATGAAAATTGTCATATTTTAATACAATTGTATGGAGCTAAAGATTTTTTATGGAATAGTAAATCTCCACTTTACCACAATAAATGAAACGTGAAACGTCCATGGTTGCACACTTGTACGCGGAAACTGAACGTTGGGATCGCACTCTGCAGCAGGAGGTGAGCGAGCTGGATAACTTGCCGCGCTTTAAAATAAAGTTGATACATCAAATGGCTCGCGCGGCAAATAAACGGTTTGCCGCGCGAGCCAATGTTCGAGAGTTTGCCGCGCGTAATGGATACGCACCTTTAATATCTACACGTGTGAAGGGGCATTGAACAAATAGATAAGATAGATACTGGAAATTTACATATAATCTAAAAATATATTCAGATAATACTGTAGTAACCTAATAATATTAACGAATATTACTATGTATGGTCTAGGAGGCCACGTGTACATTATTTTGACACGGTCTACATTTTGAATTTTCCGTGTGGAAATGTCTTTTTAAAATACTATAAAACATTATGTCAAATAACAAAACATTTGTGATAAAAAATTTTCTTTTTAGATTTTGGCAAACATACAAAAAAATGCCTATGTATGAACGGTAATTTTCCCGTGTACAAAATAATGTACACATGGCAGTTAACGTGTTAATTTCTTAAAGGTGGTGCACATTAGCGACAAATGACAATAATAATACTAGGTACCTAAATATATACATATAATTCAAAAATTCATTATATAATATATTATACAATTTTAAAAATTATATCGGAAAATATGATGTTCGTATATTTTTCAGACTACTTTTCGAGAACAATCTAGATAAATTAATATAGATGACGAAGTTTTCTATCTTAGATCACAGGTAGATACGTTTTGGAACATGGAACATACGGACTTTATATCAACCAGGAGCAGCCTTAACATTAGTTAAGGAATTTAATAAATATAGGTTAGAGATTTTAGCTATACAAGAAATAAGGTGGAGCGGACAAGGCTCTACAGAAATAGGGAACTCAATAATTTTCTTAGGTCAATGTGACAATCGCAGACAAGGAGGCACCGGCTTTATCGTTAAAAAGAATATAGCATCTGCAACTAAAGATTTCAAAGTAGTGAACTCCAGACTGACTATCCTCATAGTGGAGGGAAAATTCTTCAACCTTGCATTTGTCAATGTACACGCACCATCTGAAGATAAAAGCGATGAAGAAAAGGAGGAATTTTACACTTTGTTGGAATCTACTTTAGAGGGAATACCCAGACATTGCATTATAATCTTATTAGGAGATTTTAATGCAAAGATTGGTAAAGAAGAGTGCATCAAAACAACTACCGGGTCGAATAGTTTACATCAGCTATCAAATAACAACGGATTCAGACTAATCGAATTAGCTACAGGAAGGGGCTTAAAAATAAAAAGCACGTCATTTCCACATAAGGAAATACATAAAGGTACCTGGAGGTCCCCAGATGGCAGATACATTAACCAAATTGATCATGTATTGGTGAATGCGAGATTTAGCAATAGTGTACTAGATGTAAGGACCTTCCGCGGTGCGGAATGTGGATCTGATCACTTCCTAGTGGTAGGGAAACTTAAAGTGAAACTGAAGAAAGCAAAAAAGAGAAAAGAAGAACAAACAGAACTCTTTGATATACAAAAACTATGTGACCTTAAAATTGGTGAAGATTTCGGTAAGAATATATCAAACGAGCTTAATAATGAACATATAGATAACGAGAATGATGATATCGAAAGCTTATGGTCTGCTATAAGAAATGTGATCCGCGAAGCGACAAAAAAAACAGTTGGGAAACGACGATTTATGAGGAATCCGTGGTTTAACCAGATATGCGAAAATGCCCTACAACGTAGGAAGCAAGCGAGGGAAGTTTGGTTAAAGGATATTAAAAATGAAGAAAAATTCTCTAGATATAAAACAAGACTAAAAGAAGCAACCAAAATTATAAGATGCGAGAAACGAAAATTTATCAACGACATAGTGAAAAGTGCGGACCAGGACTATAAAAACCATAGGACACGGGACCTATACAAAAAGATCAGCTCTGTAAGCAAGGATTTTAAACCAAAAGAAATGTTTTTTAGAAACGAAAATGATACTTTGTTAACGGATAGAGACGACATAGTTGAGGAATGGGCTCAATACTTCGACCAGCTGCTAAACTGTAGAGAACCTTCTAATCCATTCCTCTTTGAGAATAAAAAACCGAATAGGGAAGAGTATCCTGAACCTACAATAGAGGAAATTGCGAAACAAATAAAAACCCTAAAAAACCACAAGGCGCCCGGTGAAGACGGGATTACCGGAGAGCTACTTAAAAAAGGTGCGGAGAATCTTGTTAAATATATTCATCGTTTAATTAGTTTAATATGGCAAAAAGAAGAGATACCAAAGGAATGGAAAACAGCCTTAGTCTATCCCATCCATAAGAAAGGAGACAAACAAACATGCAATAATTATAGAGGGATTGCCCTGCTTAATGTAACGTATAAGATTTTATCTTACTGTATACTTGACAGAATCAAACCTTGGGCAGAAGAGATTATAGGGGACTACCAGGCCGGCTTCAGGCAAAACCGCTCCACGATAGATCAAATCTTCATTCTACGTCAGGTGTTACAAAAAACTTGGGAGTATGACAAAAGCGTACATATGGTTTTCATTGATTACAAAAAAGCATATGATTCAATACATAGAACGTCCATAATCAAGATTTTAGAAGAGTTTGGAATGCCTAGTAAGTTAATAAGCCTCGTCGAGTGCAGTATTAGTCACACTGACATAAAGGTAAAAGTAGGACAAACGTTATCGAAAACGGTTCA